TGAAAAAAGTAAATAATAACAGAATTATTTGTTTTGTATCAATTAATTTGCGCAATGTTTATGTATCCTGTCACCATGGCGGGACTAGGAAATACTAAGTGTAGTATCTGTTCTCATCTTCCCAAATGGTAATATTAGCATTTCCCTTATAAGTAAACATTCAATATTCATTGACTGAACAGCCAGTGTTACTTTTGTTTGAAATTCATAAAATCTTTCTATTAAAACAATTTTTCAGGAGAACTGGCTTCCCTTAACTGCTATTGATATTTCCAACACTGATGGGATTGTTGGCTTCCTTTCTAACCTTTTTGTTTGAAGTAGTCAACACATTTATTATGTCATTATTTTCTCTTTGAGTTACATGAAAGTCATCAAGTTATGTAGTTTTTGTTATTTGGTACAGTTCTTTGTGATTTTGTAGTGCCAATCCATGAGTTTTGAGGGGAGATGGTTCTTTTGAAGACCAACAGGATTCATTTGCTCAAAGCAATTTTTAATCATTGATTTGAGAAAGCTGTTGTATACGGTTTAGACATTTCTGACATCCATATGAAAGTCTTGATCGAACAAACTATTTAAGAACATGACTTGAGTTCTTAGGTTGATGTTTTGGTTTGTAGCATCTTGTGATGTTTGACAAAACTGTCTCCAGTGCAGCCTGTCCTATGTTTAATTTCTTTATCACCTATACTAAATCTATTCTAATCTACCATTCATCCGTGCATTGAATACTGTTGCCATATCTGGTCTGGTTCCCTTGCTGTTTATCTTGAGGTTCTTGACAAAATCCAAAGAAGGATCTGCAATATAATCAATCCTGACTTGGTATCTCGACCTCAGTCACTTTCTTACAGACATGATGTAGCTTCCCTCTGTCTTTTCTACAAATATTTTCATGGCAACTGCTCTAATGAGCTTTTTGCACTAATGTTCCGACAACATGAATTTGTGTATGCCACTAGATTGACATCTAGATCCCACCCTTTTACTATTGAAATAGTTAAATGTAATGGCCACTTCTACTCCAACAATTTCTTTTCTCACACTTACTGGCAGTGGAACTCCCTTACACTTTCTTGCTAACTATAATCTTGAAAAATTTAAATGTGATGTCAACTGTCATCTTCTGTTGACTTGAAACCTGTTCGTCTTTTATTCTTTCTTCAATCCTCCATATACCCAGTCTTTTCTCCCACTTTCACTTTCTGTAACCCCCCCCCCGCATACTAGTGGCACTCCTGCCTTGCTTGGGGCTGAAATGACTAAAAAAAAAAAAAAAAAAAATTGATTTATGTGCTGAGGTATTTGAAGTGTTTAGTATTTATTCATTCCACATCCTGAATTTCTTTTTATGGATTCAGAATTGGGGTCATCATTGCTTTCATTTTCATTCTAGATCATAGTTTCTGTACTGGAAACCTCTTGAGTCCTACTTTTTTGAACCCTTGTTAGAGGATGTTGATTTTTTTTTTTTTTTTTTTTTTTTTCAAGATCCTTCTTATCCCAACTCTGACTACTTATATAATTGACATGCCCCCACCCACATCCTCTGTAGATTGGCCTGGGGATAGGAAGCCCCAATGCTGTTTTCTATTAGTAGAATCAACTGGAGTGTGGTATGTTTAAATGGTCAGTGCTCATCTCTTCATAACTGCGCTTGTATATATGAAATGCATGGTCTAGGAAAAGATTTAATAGATTGTTGATGATAGCTTTTGCATAGGTGCCGACACTGTCTTCATTCCAATGTCCAGATCATAGTTTCTGTTTTGGAAATGTTTATCCTGAGTCCTACTTCATGGAACGCTTGTTAGAGAGGATGTTGATTTTTCTTGTTCAAGGTCATCATTAACCTGACTATGAATACCTGTGCCATCAACATAGTTGCCCTCATCATCATCATTTCTCTGTCTGGAAAACAGATGGGCTGTTTTAATCATTAAAAACATTAATCACAGTCTTTTTTTTTTATGATTTATCTGTATACTTTTTGGCCTTCATCATGTGTCTGCTGTGTTACAAAAATAGGTTTGGGAATGTTATGGAAAACATCAGATATCCAAGAATAGCTGGAGTGTAAACAGATGTAATATCTTTTTTGTTGTTTTTTGGTTTTTCTTTTTACAAGACATGCAAATTATATGGAAGGAAATTACATACGAGTAATAAAAACACTTAATGAAAGCTGGTGCTTTAAGCTGATTTGCTTGCATGTGTATTAACCACTAGGACTCTACTGTCATCTTTTATGATACAAATAAATCTGACATTTCTTGCATTATTCAGATTGTTATTGTCATCTTTTACAACATTTCGGTCATTTTACACTCCAGCCTTCTTCAGGTGATTTGAATTTTGAACTGAACCCTTTATTTCATCCACTAAGGTAAAGACATTGGTTAGATCCAGTGACTAGACCCAAAGAGTTATGAGTTCAATACCAGGCCACAGCAGTGGTAAACCAAAGTTGGAGAGTTGAGTTAAAGGGAAATAACTGAGACATTCAGGAGAGGCATGACACGTGGACCTAGAACAATCGACTCTAATGGATGAAATAAAGAGTTCAGTTTAAAATTCCAGTCACCTGAAGAAAGCTGGAATGTAAAAACTGCTGAAATGTTGTGAATATGGCAATGAAGATGAGGATAACAGTTTGAATAATGTAAGTAATCATAATACCTCATCTCAGAGATATAGACAGATATCTGATATTTCACAAGAGATTAGGTGCTGCAGATGTTTACTAGTTTTTTAATTTTTATAGAAATCTTTCTGACCTCCCCATTGAACTTATTAAAACCACCCCCATTATTAATTTTGCATTGTTTGACACTTTAAATGATTTTCTGGCCTTCAATTTCATTAAGTCCATTCCCTGTTTTATTGCATATTGAGAAAATTCTCAAGCCTCTTCCCCATTAGTAAGACCCCTTTTCAGTTTGGTACCTTAAAGTACAATGAAAAATAGAGAACCTCTTGGTTCTTATTTACAGTCTGGCTAATATCTGTGTTGTTATAGCCATAATGTTTTGGCCATTGTGCCTGCCGACTTATCTTCCAGGAATACCAAAATGAACTGTCCAGTCAATCATTAATCAGGATAAACATATCCCTAGACATGGAAGACAGAACAAAGGCTTCAGTTCAAAATGTTCTGTATCAACAAATTTCTGAAAAAGGTTGGTGGAGCACAGCAGGTGAAATTGGATTGTAACAAAAATGAGGACATTAGTCTGACTGTAAATAGTAAGTTCTTTTTCCAGAAATTCAAACAGATATTGTTCCTTTGGTTACAAAATAAATAAAAAACAACAAGCTTGCATATTGTTGACATATGAAATCATTCATATTTATTTATGACACATAAAATTTTATTTTATAAAAAAAAAAACAAAATAAAAGAAACAAATGAAAAAATCAGATAAAATGGGGATAGGCAGAAACATATATATTACATTAATCTATAGATATATATATGTTACATAAACTGCACAAAAGCTTTTTATATATATATATATATATATATATATATATATATATATATATATATATATTGGGAATTTTAAAAGGAATTTTTTTATCTAGCTGATTTCATTTCGATTCTTTTTCATTTCATCAATCTTGTCAGTAGATATCGCACACTGTGATAACAGAAGACCTGCCAGGAATGGTGAAATGTTATTGAAGCCTAGACTGTAGATGACCTTGTGATTAAGGCACTAGGTCAAAATTGTGTTCAGTCTCGTAACACAATCGAGACATTTTACAAAACAATGCATTGGTTGCTCACTGTAACGAGACTGACCACAATTTTGATTTTCAATGTAAAAGATGCTACTCTGATCAAAAGAGAAACAATTCACTATAACGAAAATATCTAGACAGTGCCTTAATCACAAGTAAATTTGCACCCTGGCTCTTACAACGTTTCACCATTCCTGGCAAAACTTAGTAGTTATCCCACACTGTGATAATATAACAAAAGTGATGGAAAGAAAAAGAATCTAAATGAAATCAGCTAGATTAAAATATATATATATGTGTGTGCACACATCTGTGCAGATATGTATACAAGTTTTTTTTGTATATATATATATATATATATATATATAGCAAGCTAAACCCCAAAAAGTAGGAATTGAATGTCAAGATAGATGAAATAAAAGGAACAAAAATTGCAAAAGTTTTAATGAAGAAAGCTCATATTTTTGTATATAAAAAGCAACAAAAACCAATGTTTAAAATTCATAAAACACCTTTTTTTTCCTTCAGTTTACTTCATTATTCCTGTTGAATATAACCACAAATATAGCCACAATATTGTTATAAACAGTAAAACTTACAAATAGTGTCCGTGTTATTATTATAATTATTATTATTATTACAATAATTATAAAACATTTTTAGAAGAAATGCAGTTGCTATATTGTAAAGAAAAAAAAAAAAAGGGCATATTTTATTTTCAGAGAAATATTGTTCAATAAAAGTAAAAAGCTGATTGTTACAATCCAGGTTTTGTAAATATTTATTTGTTGAAGACACCAAATTTTTTTTTTTTTTTTTTTTTAAATGTTTAGAGTTTATATTTAAATGTTTAGTTTTCTGTATTGTTTTTCAATATATTTAAGCCACTGTTTGCATTATAAGATGTCCTTAGGTGAAAGTGAATAATGAAAAAAAAAATAGTAATGCAGGTATGGTTGTACACGAGTGTATTGCGATTTTGCTGTAAAGAATCTTTGAAGTAATCTTACAGAGTGGGTCACAGTGAAGAAAGGGTAGAATTTGTAGGTAATAACTAACTTAAAAAAAACAATGATAATTTTTTAATTAAATTTTGTGTGTCTTTCAGTCTTTTTTTTCTCTCTCTTTTTTTTTTTTTAATAATGTTATTAATTATAATAAAAAGATTGAAAACAAAAAAAAAAAAATGGCCCAAAAAATATTATCTCCCTTCTTGAAATTCAGAAGGCTTTGAGTTTTTTACAGCAAAGCTGTTAATGAAAAAAGGCTGAAGGAGAAGAGTAAGGGTGAAAAAGAGAGATGAAGAAATTATCGGAGAGAGAAAGGATGAAGATAAACAGACAATATGAGAGAGGAGGAAAACTGAGGGGAAGTGATACAAAAAAAAAAAAAAATGTAGTGGAAAGCAATATAGATAAATATTTGTACAACAAACATATAGCAGATTTTACAAGTATACAAATGCACAAATTGTAACACTGTACCACCAGATTTGGGTAAATCTATCCTGTTTGAAAAACAGTATCCGAAATCCAAGTTTGTTCTCAGTTTTATTGGGGTACTGGAAACAAAATAGCAACAGCCTCAGCCACCAAGCAGGAAGTAATAAAAAAAAATGGGGGCGGGGGTGGAGAAGAAAACAATACCAGAGGGGTAATTAATATGAGTGATAGATGGTTATGAAGAGACAAGTAGATCAATATGAAGAAGAGAGATAAAAAAAAAAAAATAAAATAGATCAATAGCAAGTAGTGGGTAGGTAGAAAGATGATAGAATGTGACAAATTGAATTGTTCTTTTTCCACTCAGAAACAATTACTTCGCGTTCATTTAGTATTGGTCGGGGTGGGGGAGAAGAGACATTCTCAATTTTTTTTTTTTTTTTTCCCTTCAAAACAAACATCCAAAATTTCCCCTGGAAAGAAAAAAAAAAAAAAAAAAAAAAGCTGTCACCTTCATCATTATTTTTTTTTTTCTCAATCCAAATTTTAAATATCCAGAAATATTTTTTGTCAGTTTTCTTAAATATTTTGCTTTTTATTTTTTAATATTTTTATTTTTTTAATTTTTAAAAAATTTCAAGCACATTTTTAGGCCATCACTGAGAAAAATGATATATAATAGCAGCCAAAAATTGCTTAAAAAAAAAAAAAAAAAAAGGGTTTTGTAATGGTGTTTCATTATTTTTTTAATTTTTCAAAATTTATTGATGAATTTTTCCTTTCTCTCAAAAAAAAGAAAAAGAAAAAAAAAAGTTAAACAGAACAGCTCATTTTTAAATGTTTATTTTTCTTGTTGTAAGTAGGAGCAACCTTTTTATTATATATATATATATATATATATATATATATATATATATATATAGTTTGAAGTGGGTACTGAAAACTTTTCAGCCCATCATACTTCACATAATCTGTCTCTCAATGAACAAACTTGGAAAGTGGGCTGAAACCAAGGATCTTTCAGTACCTCCTTGTATGAGTTTAGAGATAAACATAGATAATGTTTGTTTTTCTTATCTGTTCATCTCACAGGTATCTTTCTGCTATGCAATAAACAAATGCTTAAAATGACATCAAGACAAAAAAAATTACATGTACATAGAAGCAACACAGCCAGTGAACGCATCAGAAATTTTGACAAGAGTCAGTTTTAGGTTACTTTCATATTTAATATACACACTTCTTGTTTGTTTTGGTTTTAATTTATTATTTTTTTTACCGAGTTGCTGTCAATATAGAACCTAACTCTGTTTCCGCTGCTGTTTCTACAAAGTTTATGCTATTTAAGAATATATTTTCTTATATATAACTGTTGCAAACATTTAACTAAAGTTTATTTTAAGATATTTATACAAATGTCACCTTCCCTTGACAGAACGTGGTCTTAGGGAGGGGGCAGAGGGAATGAACTTGTTGAGAGCTGCAACAGATAGGGGAGGTGGAGAGCCATGATTGATTACAACCTGAAACAATACAACACATAGAAAGAATACAAATGTCTCTAAATTTCAGATTACATGTTTTCATTTTTTAGTATAGAACAAATTTAAGTTAATGTATTTAATGTGACTAATAGATAAATGTGACACCTGTTAATTAATTCAATACGTAGTTCTGTTAGTTAATTAGGCTAATATATATGTTGCTGTGATATATCAAGTAGGAAAAGAAGTTTGATAAATTAAAAATTATTTTTATTGCTATTCTAGATAATATAAATAATCTTGGTTTCCAAAGAATTTTTTATTGCAACTGTCATCAGTTCTTGCTTATGATTTTTAATCATATTGATAACAATTTGCATGGCACAGGGACTTTAGAATTGAAGTAAGGAGGATCTATCTGCTTGCCTTGAAAATGTAGGCTTGTATATCTCAGACATAGGGGAGGCATGTTATTTGTTACAGAAATGAGATTTAACAATTCTGTAATGATTTTGATTTAAACAAATTGACATGCAAAAAAATAAAATAATGTATCGTATTATAAGAATTGTTTGTTCTCATTTCACTTTGTTGTACTGGCATCAAATCTGCTGAAATCCTTTCCTAAACTTAAGAATTTTCGCCTGATGAGAGAAAATAACCAAAGTTTGTTGTTTTAATATACTATATTATGAAAACATCTATATCAATATCTATAATTCTGTTTCATGCTAAAACTGAAGTTGATAAGACTAACCATGCTATATTGCTGCTGGGTAAAACATAGAAAAAAGAAGAGGTTTGTGCCTATGAGTGATGAAAGAAAATTTGTGTGTGTGTGTATATATATATATATATATATATATATATATATATATATATATATATATATATATATATATATATATATATATATATATATATATATATATATATATATATATATACACATATGAGTTGAATCCACTCCACTACCTTGGTTTCAACCTTATGTTATCCTCAGGTAATTTTTTATAAAAATCTTTTTATAAAAGTCGCTTGAGACCAAGATAGCAGATTCAACTGATCGCCTGGTTTATTTTGTTTTTTTCATACATGTATTGAGTGATTTTTAATACGAATGTTTCCTGGTGTGATTCAACTCTGACCATTAAACTTATATGGATTTTATATATATATATATATATATATATATATATTACTTTAAACATTATTTTTAGTGGATATCTATAGTTGAGTAGAGGTTTTGTTTATTTATTAAACAGTATTTTATTTCATCTACTGGCCTGAAGATCAATAAATCTTATGTTCAGGCCAATAGAGTAAATATTGGTTAAAAAATAAACAGAGCATCTACCGAAATATAGGTACCCACTAAAAATTATGTTAGAGTTGATATTCTTGTTTTTATTTAATTTCTTGTACAGTGAAAATAATATCAGCTAGCTCAGACCAAAAAGTCCTATTAAAGAAAAATGTACCTCCCAATTTTGAAATGATAAAATTTTGCAATGTCCTTCCTTCCGGAACTTCATTAAAGGCAAAGTATAGAGATTTATTAAGAAAAGCCAGCATTTTAAAAAGTTTTGTAATAAATCTCTTCATTTTAACTTTGATGAACAACCTGAATGAACCAAAAATAAATATTCTTATGTTGTCCTTAATTAAAATTTATTGTGGACTCTGAGGTCAGTGCTGACAGTCTGTTGCATGTAATCTAAAGGCCTTTGTCCTTAAGATTGTTTTCAAGCATGAAACAGACTGTCACCTCAGTATGCACTTTTATATTTACAAATGTGCTATCCCTGATATTGAGCACTTTTACCCATAAATAAAGCAAACCTTAAAACTATATTTTTATCATTGTGTGTGCATGTGATATATTTCTAAGTACTTGTTTCATTTTTTGCAAAGACAGTTTCATTATTTAAGGGTTTTGTTTTCCTTGAAGAAACAGCAGCAGCATGCAACAACAACCTGTTAAAAACTTTAAGAAAAACCAACATCGTTTTTTTTTTCTTTTGCAGTTCTCTCTGCAATGCACCTGTAGACAAAGCATTTCTCTGCAATGCACCTATACTGCAGAACAACACCAACAACAAAAAACAATGACAACAGACACATACATACATACACACAACAGGCTCACACACACACACATGCCACTCAAGCAGCATTGTTTTGCTTTTCTTTTCATTTTTCTTTGTTTCTCTATATTTTTTTTTTCTTCATAGTTTGTGACAGTTCCGTATCTTTTTAACACAGCAGCCATAGCATGAAGAAGGTGGGTAAAGGACCGCAGGATGAGGAAAGAAATACTTTAGTTCTGGCACTAGGCAACTGACCATCACTGGCCAAAGTCATTATTCCTGCCAGTGCAAAAGTTTAACCAGAAATTTGGGAATGGAAAAGGGACTCTTGGTCATAAAAATCATAAATAGATTGATATGGGGGGGGGGCGTAGGGGCACATAATATCTGACCCAAGTTAAGGGTTTAGTTGGTTGGTCAAAAATTCAATGCACTGACCTCTATTGTGTCAGCTTGTTAAGATTGTGGTGGTCAGGGAAAATTGGTGTGGAGTAGAAAGTAGTGGGGTAGGTTGTGCTCATGACAGGGTAAGGAAGGAAGAGAGGTAAAGTATTTTTGACCAGCGGTTATATTTCTTTCTCAGGCTTTGTAAGGTTCTGCAAAGACAGCCACATCACTCTTCTTTAGATCCTTAAACTCACACTGCACATCACGCATGTGGCCATTGATTATGACAACGGATGACTTGGTCGAGGTCAGCAAATACTCGCTAAATACATTTCCACTGATGATTGGCCATTGCGATTCGAGCCAGGGCCATGATTTCTCTTCGCTGTTGTGACCCACATCTGGTTGAATGGAAAGAAAGAAAAAAAAAAAAATAAAGAAATATTAAAAATGACAGGAAATGATAGAGAAATATTAAAATCAATAAAGTTTGGAGAAATATTAAAATCAATAAAGTTTGGGTGTTAAGTGGTAAAGAACTACTGTCAAATTGATCAGTTTTATGTATAAATATGAGATCCTGAAAAAAAAAAAAAACATGTCAAAGGAAAATCAACATAGTGGTTAATTCAATCCCCTCACAGATGAAGAGGAGATTTGTGAATACAGTGGACTGAACATGTGAACAATGAGGAAGTTTTAAAGAAAAAGGAGACAAAAAGGAAGCTTTTACATTGAATCAGAAAGAAATAATTCTTCCCTTCCATCTCATTTTCATCATTCTTTCATTCCTTTTCTTTCATTCATTTTCATTTTTTCCATTTTTTCTTTCATTCCTTTTCTTTTTCTTTCATTCCTTTTCTTTTTCTTTCATTCCTTTTCTTTCTTTCCATTTTTTCTTTCATTCCTTTCCATTCTTTTCTTTCATTCCTTTTCTTTCTTTCATTCCTTTCCATTCTTTCATTCCTTTTCTTTCTTTTCATTCTTTTCTTTCATTCCTTTTCATTCTTTTCTTTCATTTCTTTTCTTTCATTCCTTTTCTTTCTTTCATTCCTTTCCATTCTTTTCTTTCATTCCTTTTCTTTCTTTTCATTCTTTTCTTTTCATTCTTTTCTTTCATTCCTTTCCATTCTTTTCTTTCATTCCTTTTCTTTCTTTTCATTCTTTTCTTTCATTCCTTTTCTTTCTTTTCTTTCATTCCTTTTCTTTCTTTCCATTTTTTTTTTCATTCCTTTCCATTCTTTTCTTTCATTCCTTTTCTTTCTTTCCATTCTTTTCTTTCATTCCTTTTCTTTCATTCCTTTTCATTCTTTTCCTTCATTCCTTTTCTTTCTTTCATTCCTTTTCATCCTTTCATTCCTCTTCATTCTTTCTTTTCCTCCCCCTTTTCACCAAGTTCTTTCTTTCTCAGATTTATTTTCTTCCTTTTTTACCTCTCTCTTATCTCCGAGATTTGGGTAAGGCAGGTTGGAAGGTGGGGATGCAAGAAAACATGACTGGGTTAGGCAGATAAGAAATGCTCAAGGGACATCCAACAAAACAGGGATAGGCATGAGATAAGGAATAAACACCAGTTGTCAACACCCATAAATCCATAAATTGTGGTTATTAAATTTTTACTCATTTTTCATCCCTTTTTTTCTTTTGCCACAATGCTCAGGTATCTTTTCCACTTTCTGACATAAGAATAAACAATAAAATCTTACAAGATTTAATAACAAGCATCAAAGCATGATGCAAGAAAACCAAGTAATAATTGTTAATCTTTCTAAAAAGCCACCAGAAAATCAATCTTACCTCAGATGCAACATTGTAAGCCTATTACTACTCTATTGCTATTTACATAGCAACTGCTAAGATAAGCCCTATCCTCCAGGCACACCAGTTCAAACATTTACAGCTAGGACATGTCTGTTGGAGCTCAAGTTCATAGTGGAACTTATATACACAGTTCATTGCTGAAGAGGCTGGAAAAAATGGTTGGTTCCTTGTATTTTTCCAGAAAGTATCTGAATGCTTCTGACATGCTCTATATCTACAAGAGCCAGATCAGACTATAAATGGAGTATTGCTGTTGCATCTGGCTGACTATCCAATAGGCAATTTCCATTCTTGATGGAGTTCAAAGTCATAGCATAGGTGACTAATTGTTTTTTTTACCATTCAACCCCTTCTTTAGAGATAAAATTTTGCTAGCCCCTTACTGTTCTACCTCTCTTTTTAATGGCAGAAGGTAACCCCCTTGTGTCTTAGTGGCATTATCACCTTGCTAGAGGTGAAATGATAAAAAAAGGAAAATATTTGGGTAAATTACATTTCTTGATTCTACCAATCCTGTCCTGACCCAACACAGCTCAGCACTCTCCGTGCCGCATACACTGGGCCTACTAAAACTGCTTCTCTTCATATTGTAATGGTAAGGAGTAAGTTTGACTCGGTTTCTTCTCCAGAACTGTTGCAATATACAGGGTGGTCCAAAAGTTTGTCACCCCATTACCAAAAAGGTAATGAGAACAATAGAACAAGTAATACAAAGCACATGTACTGGATTCAGTTTATTCATTATCATTGATGCTGTCACACATTGAGAAGGTCTGTATGAACACCACCATTTTTGTGGCACAACATGATGCAGCGCCATGTCCTGTGTGATATTTTATGAAGCTGTGCTTTGCTGTTTGGAGAGCCTTTGCAACAATCAACATCCTTCAACTGATAGGCATTTTGGTATTGTTCATGTGAAACTCTCTCCTTGATAATACTCGACAGTGCATTGAAATAGAAAATTATATTTTATAGGAGTGACAAGACATTTGGATCACCTTGTAGATCCTTTTCAAGTCAAGGTTCAAACATTATCTATCCTACTTATGCTTATGTTACACAACCAGGTCAGGATTATCCTGTAGGCCTAGTATAGGCTGCAACATAAGACTTGGTTATAATGTTGACTATAAAAAAAAAATTTTTTTTTTTTTTTTACTTCAGTTGTATTGAAATATGTGCTAATTTGTTTTGCGATAAATAAAATAGTGGTATTTCGTAAAGAATATTTTTATTGACAAACAAAAGATAGCCATTCCAGTTTATTTAAAGAATTTGCAATAAGTTTACTTCAAGCTCTGTAAGTGTTGTTAAAGACTGGTTCAGGCAGGTTTGAGGGTGGCTCCATCTGAGAAGGCGCCATAATTTCATAAACCTAGAGACCCCAACAGATCATAATCCGGCCCTGAATGCAACCCTTGCTCTCTCTCTATACACACTTTCAACATCCCATCACCATTCAGTAAAACTCTACTTTGAGTGGCACAAAGGCCTTGTAATGGGTCAACAATAGTAAAAGAAAAAAAACAAAAATGTTCTTTACAGTGAATTCAATTCTAATTTTTTATTTTTTAAATGAATTCAGCTTGCATTGAAGGATTTTCTCTTACATGCAGATACCCTTGGAAAAGGTATGAATCCACTTGTCCTCCCTCCAGACTTGTATCACTAAAAAAAAAAATTATCCCCCGCACCAAACAAAAAATTATGAACAAAATATTCAGATTTTGGCATTAAATACCTCATTGAGGTTGATATGTGGCTAAACAAAAAAAAAGCCCATAAGCAAATGGTAGTTAAAATAATTCATATTGTGAAGGCTTACTTTCAATGATTTCCATTTTGCCCGTCTCCAGATTGACATAGATGACATCATTGCGTTTGGCAGACGTCAAGTACAAGTCATATCCACTTTTCCTTGAAGAATGGAAGAAGCTAATATCATCAATCGGACCGTTAGTTGTCAGAGTGAAGCTGTAGCCAAATTTTCCTAAAAGAAAAGAAAAAAGAATTACTACAAAGACAGCAAAATGACCAGCACTCCTCAAAGAAAGAATGGCAGTTTGAGAGAAATACTGTCTGAAATTCTAAGATGAAGTGTTATTATTTTCATGCACAATTTAGACCAGAATCCTATAGAACTAGTGGACTAAAATATGGTAACATTGATGCCAATCCTTAGAGTTCAAAGTTCAATCTCTAGATTAGGCAGTAAGCAAAAACTTATCAGTCTGAAAGGACATTAAAGGAACTGATTAGAACTTGAAAAACTTAATGCAGATTCAGATGAAGGATTCTTAGATAAAGGCAAAGATGTCAAACGTATAGAGTGATAGCAAATAGGTAGTAAAAAAACAATCTACCCAACTGGATAGAGGCTGTATATAAGGAGGGCTGTTGGGTTTAAATCAATAAAGATGTTTGAAACTTAATAATAGCATGGGGTCTGTATTTGCATTCAACCAGATAATAATGATCCAATTTTTAATAACATGGGGTCTATATTTAAATTCAACCTGATAATAATGATCCTGTTCAGAGAAGTTTTTTTTTTTTTTGCTTCTGCTTTTAAAATTTGCTTGAAATGTGACAGGGCATTGTCATTAAACATGTTAACAATACACGGCTTGCAACAGCTTTGTTATGGTGTTATTTTTTAACAAAACTTTGCACCTCACTCAATTTTAAAGATATGTTCTTAATCACTTAAGAAGGCATATTCTTCCCTCTCCTTCTCCTCCTTCAAAGCTATTTCCTCAGCTGCTGTTTGTTGCTGCTCCAGCTGAAGGTCTTGGAGTTCTTCAGAAGTCAGTTCTTCCTGATAATCCTCCATCATCTCCTCCACATACTGCCCACTTACATCTTAGCCTAGTGACTTCTGCAACAACACACTCGGAACTTTCTTTTGGTCCATGGTGGTTTATTTAATGATAAAGCAAAATTTAAAAAAAAAACGATCACAATAAAAACACTATTTAATATGAAAATTTTCAGTCTAATGCAGTCATGATGTTTTGCTTGAGGAAGTCACACAGCAGCAAACCTACAAGAATGTAGTGAAAGAGATAATCAGCTTCCTCGAAAAAGAGTTTGTGTTTGTGTGTGATCTGCTGAAGACAAATTACCAAAAATTAGTTAGCAAAAATCAACTTTAAGGACCAGAATCTATGCTAATATTCATCCCTCCTCTGAATGGCATGACCAATCAGAAAGATCTCTCGGTGAACAAAAGCAGTTGCTTTTTGCTTATGGGGGTGATTTGGATTTTCTGAGCATGGTGGACGAACACGCGTTTTTGCTGGTGAGAAGTGAAGTTCAGATGTGTGACCCCATTTTGTCATTTCTACATTGCCTGTTGGACTGTTAGGTTGGACTATCGTTTGAACTGTGATTTAGCTACAAGTGTTGTGGTCGAGAGACAGAAGAAATCTATTGCAGATGTTTATTGCTGCTATAAGTCTGTTTCTTTCTTTGTAAAGAAAAAAAAACAGATAATCAATAGTATGAATTAATGATATACTTAATGCAGAAAATATTTTGGCTACATATTTTCATAAGTCATGAATAGCAGGGTAGACTGGCAGTCAGTCCAGGAGAAGTCATAAATAACTGGGCAGACTACCTTTGGATACATATTTTTCATATAGAAATTTTTTTTAAATCTGTGATTATTTCATGGGCCTGTGTGCAGATAGCATAATTGTTATCAGTGTGCAAAATTGAATCAATAAGCAGAGTTCAAATTCTAGCTTCACCTGTTACATCCACTTTCACTCAAAAACCCTTGGTAAAAACATTAGTCTGTCTTTTCTCACCATAAATAACCAAGCAGACTGCCCTCTCTGGCATAGTACAGCAGTCAGTCCCAGAAAAGTCATCAATAGCTGGGCAGGCTATGCTCTCTGGCATGGTACTGCAGTCAGTCCAGGAGAAGTCATAAATAGCCAGGCAGTCTACGCTGTCTGGCATGGTATGGCAATCAGTCCAGGAGAAGTCATCAATAGCCAGGCAGTCTACGCTCTCTGGCATGGTATGGCAATCAGTCCAGGAGAAGTCATCAATAGCCAGGCAGTCTACGCTCTCTGGCATGGTATGGCAATCAGTCCAGGAGAAGTCATCAATAGCCAGGCAGTCTACGCTGTCTGGCATGGTATGGCAATCAGTCCAGGAGAAGTCATAAATAGCCGGGCAGTCTACACTGTTTGGCATGGTATGGCAGTCAGTCCAGGAGAAGTCATCAATAGCCAGGTAGTCTACGCTCTCTGGCATGGTATGGCAGTCAGTCTAGAAGTACAATTCTGAATTCCAAACTCTGGAGAAAATGGTGAGAAACCACTCTAATACATTTCTCCAGAAGTATGACAACTCACAATTAAATTTAAAAAAAAAAAAAACTCTATAGAGAGCCATGATCATATACACCCGTATGGGATATTGCATTTAAAGAGAAAATCAATAAATTAATCTTTTTCTTTTCTTCTTCCAGTAAATCTATGTTCAAAAAGCATTTAATGAGATTCCCGAGAAGGTTGGATTAGTATAAGTACATATAAAGCTACATTTAAATGTAATTTCTGTCTGAATTTCTGGAAGGAGGAGTTATTATTTACAGTCAGGCTAACTTTGTCATCTTTGTTGTTAATATCACAATGTTTCAGCTATTGTTTCCACTGGCCTTCATCAGGTGTCTGTCAATCTGGGTATGTTTTGTGGAATTTTGATCTGAACCCTTTATTCAATCTAGTGGGGGTATATTTTTCTCATTCTGCTGTCCACATCTAAGGATATCTTATCTTGTTTTTTCTTAGACCTACTCATTTATTGTTAGAAGATGAGAAATCATTTTTGCTTTTTTTTTTTTTTTGGGGGTTTTATTTATATTTTTAATTTTGAGGTGAAAATATCACTTTGTTTCTTCAGTTTTGATACATGTACTTACACAAACACTTCTCAGTGAATTCAATAGATCATCCAACTTATGACTGTCAGCTCAATGAATCCCATAGATCAAACATTATACAGTAAAAATTTTGGCCCAAAATTCAACTTATAACTCCATCATGTAACACTTACTAATTAACCTCTTTATATTCTATCAATGTCAATATGTAACATAATATTGGTAAAAAAACAAATCTTAGCCCTTTCCAGGATAATCATTACTTTCCCTAGGAAGCCACTAGCCTATTTATATAGAAAAAATGATTTAGAATAAAGAAATTTATTGGGTTTTTAACAATGATAGATTGGCCGGGGAAATCCGAAAAATCTAAAATACTAATAAAAAAAATAAAAATAAAAAACAAATATGTACACAAATGCTTCTGCTCCATGTGAATCAAAAAAAAAAAAACAAACTTACCATCTTCTGTGATTTTAGTCACAGTGAGCAGTCCATCATGTTTATTCACATTGACCATGTGTTGTGAATCGGGTGAGACATAGGGAATTCCCGCAGTTGTGGAATTGGCAATAACCTTATCAGTAATGTAGTCTAAGATCAGCTGTAGGGACTGCATTCCATTTTCTTCATTGGCAAGGCACTGAATCACAATGTGGCCACCTGTACAAAGAGAGAAAAAGAAAAAACAAATGTCACCTAGTCATTCAGTCGAGATAATAAAAGGATATGTAAGAAAATCTCTATCTATTTATCTATATATATATATTAAAATTCCCAGCATCTCTCCTTCATGTGCATCTGTAGTCACACCAGCATAACAAATTTAGTCTGAAGTCCTAAAGAACAAAACGTGTCACAAGAAAATTTTTTCCACCATACATTTCCCCTATATATATATATATATATATATATATATATATATAGTCAACTCTCCCGTTGAATATATATATATATATATATATATATATAGTCAACTCTCCCATTGAATTTGACGTATGAGGGTCAAGCAGATCAGTTCCTTTGAAACTGACAGCACGACACCAGCACATGAGATTTGATTATAGTGGTGAAGGTTTCGTGCAGGACCATCCACACTTTTTGAAGGGCCGAATACAGAGACCTGGTGCACTATGTGCCACAAGACCCTCCACAGGTTTTGAATTCAAAGTTATCCTTCTCCTAGACCAGTTGCCATCCAAGGCTATAGAACCCAGTCTGTCCTTCTATTTACCCATAGATGAAGGGAGAAGAGGAGGATTCATACCTTTCCCAAGGTTATTAGCACGTAAGTGAATGTAATGGATTCGAATGGAATTCAAACTCGGCTCTCCAATTCCTCAATACAAGCTGCTATCCATTACTTTACCATGCCTCCTATAAATATATATATATATATATATATATATATATATATATATATATATATATATATATATATATAATTGAGGAAACAAATATTTGTACACATACAAATTTTTAATTTACTGTATTTTCAACTAATGAATAAACATGATTTTCATATAATTAACTGTATACAGATGCATAATAACTAAATATGCATAGAAAACAGAAAAAAAATTGATTTAATAGAAATAAATCTCATTTATCCATTTTAATAGGTGAAAAAAAGTATTTGTACAATGCAAATTTTTTATTTTAAAACTTTTAAATTGCTGTATATATTGTGAAAATACTGATAATTTTACAAGCACATGGATGTACTGATAAGAAGCATATATATAGTACCAAATTCTTCAGTGAAGTGAGATAACATTCTTAAGAATAACTTTTATTTAGGCTTAACCCCACAGCATTCAACACTCTCAAACCCACGACATAAACATTGGCTCACACTGGATGCATAATTGTAATTATGTTGTCTAGTCCAACACAGTGAACCAACTCTCCTAGCAGCAGACCTAGTAATTGGTTTCATATAATCTTCCCACTTGATGTCAGTGAAAAACGTTAGCCCAAGAAGGTGCAATGTGCATAGAACTTATGGTTCCATCTTGCCATTTCAACTGTAAAAGGATGAGACTTTGCAATATTATGTCATATATTAAGGAAGAGTATACATGACGTGGATTATGGCAGGTTGAACATTGAGAGCTGATAATTAAGGGTAAGGTTTTCGATGTGTTGAATGCAAAAGGATTAAACTAAGAGGAAACCAGTTTTTCTTCAATACTTTTTAGTCACCAATACTATCCTCCTGATCTTCAATACTCATATGTCTTATCATTATGATAAAACATATGGGTATTGAAGATGACTGTTACCATTTCATCCCAAGCAAGTAGTAAATCTACTAAAACACAAGGGATTACAGAGTATGAGAAAAACAAGACATTATCAAGAACAATAAAAGAACAGGAATTTGAAAAGACAGAAGGTAATGATTGATATTGTACTTAAATTTTTGAAGATCAAAGCTGATTGGAAAGCAAAAGGCCAGAGGAGATTTTCACAAGGGAGAAATCTGATAGAAGGAACTGTTAGCATAGAATCTATTTTACATCTAGCTATTTCACCTGTAAAATAATGAGACATAACTGCCAATCGAGTACTGCATGTAAAATAATGAGACATAACTGCCAATCTAGTACTGCACTTAAAGTCAAGGTACCAAAGAGGAAAGCTCCTCAGAACAATTAGCATGAAATATTTATGGGAAAGGTGCAGTTAAGCTATTTTACGGTTATGGGAAAGTAACTGAAGGTAATATGCCAAGTCAGGACCAGTAACCTCCTCATGTGATTGGCCCTGCTGCATCTGATAACAATTGACATTGCATTTTGACTTTTGAAGATCAAAGCTGACTGAAAAGTAAAAAGGCTGGAAGAGAGTTCCACAAGTGAGATGTGTGAGAGAAGAAACTGTTAGCATAGAACTTAGTTACATATAGCATTTAACTGAAAAATGATGAGACCTAGCTGCCAATCTAGTACTGCACTTAAATTTATAAAGTCTAGGTACCAAAGAGGAAAGCATTTATAGAAAAGGTACAGAGAATCTACATTAGGGTAGTGGGAAAGTGACTGATGCCAGATCAGAACTCATAATGCAGCAGATTCTTCTTCATATTTTATCAAGAATCACTAAATATATAGCAGAAGCATCAGACCAGATAGGGCACTTATATGCAATACCTGGAAAATTGTAAACTTCTAAATATATAAGATATATTCTAGCAAAAATAAATGTCTAGTGCAACACAGTGAACCAACTTTCCTTGCATCAGAGCTAGAAATTGGTTTCATAAGCATAGAACTTATGGTTCCATCTAGCTGTTTCAAGTCTTAGTTCCAAAGAGGAAAGTTCATCTGAACAATTACCATGAAAGTATTCATAGAAAAGAGGAAGGAATAACTTCATTGAAAATAAACATTATTAGTCATAAGTTTTACTCAGGTTTAAACTGATAGAAGACTAATTCTTCTACAATTTCAATCATGATACAACATATAGATAATGGAGATTTTACAAGTATGTGGTGGCTGAGTATTTGTACCCGAGTATCCCTGTCTATTAGGGTGGCTTGCCAATCCTTGTAGCAGACACCTGTTCAGGCATATTTGTGTTTGTTCAGCACCTCCAGAGACCATTTGTGGTTTATGCTGCAGCTATGCTAAGCAGACCTTAGTTAGTTTCTGGGAGAGAGCAGATTATCTGTCATGATGAACAGTCTGAACAAGGCCAGCAACCTCAAACACTCAGTCACGATGACTTGCGACTTTGTGCTAGCCCAACCATCAATCGCTCCAAAATAGTTCCATCTACCCAATTTCACTCACAAGCATTTTGGGTCAACCTGTTGTATGGTCTTCAGGCACTTTCCAAAGGTGATGCATGCTGGGATTGCCTGACTTTCTTGATAAATTGACCGGATCTCATAGTTGGAAAGTGAATGTTCTAACCACTTGGTAACATTCTTATATTTTTATAATCATATCAATTCATTGACTGCTAGAAAGATGCTATACGCACTGGTGCATATAGGGTGTGATGGATAAATTGTCATCTAAATTATGCATAAATTAAAATAATACTGACATCTCTGTTTAACAGATATATTTACCAAAATTACACAAAGATATCTTTAAATACTAAAGAGTAAATTTCTTAAATCACCATTGGCTTCAGCGATGGCCTCCAAATGACTTTGGAATTTACTGCATATCTTCTGGATGTTCTCTTTGTTTAAGTTGGTAAATGTTGCCACAATCCTTGCCTTCAGTTCATCTTTGGTGTTACAAGGAGTTTTGGTGGTCTCTCACTCAACTGCACCCCACACATAATAATCAAGGGGGTTGTAGTCTGGGGAGTTAGGTGGCCAAATATAAGAGGTGATATGATTGCAGAAATTGTCTGACAGCCATGACTGGATTCCCTTGCTTGTGTGGCATGGTGCAGATTCTTGTTGCCAGACATAGTGTCTTCCAGCAGCCACCCTCTTGATCCAGGGCAGCTCTACCTTCTCCAGACACTTGATGTAGGTCTCTATATCGAGGTATGTGGAGAAAATGAATGAAGGTATAACATCGCCATCATGAGTGATCACTCCAAACCCCATGATGCTGACTGGTTACATCATCCAACTCATTCTGAATCCTCAGAACTCATTTGAGATTGTTATCCAGACACTCAGAAATGTTTGTATTGGAGCATCTGGCACAAAATGCTAAGTAGTACAGCATGCAGTTTCCAGATTTCTGGCAGAGTGAATTGTGTCATGGTGCTCTTTTTCTCACAGACAGTGCCCAAGTGACCCTGGTATACTGTGCAGTTGACAAAATTAAAAACAATGTGCATGAGCAAAATTAAAAATTTAATATGGCAACAATTCACCCGTCAGAACCTGTATAACTCAATTAAGAACATTTGTAAAAACCACCACCATGTTGCATTTTTAAACTATGAGAGAAATAGGCAAATGACTGAAAGTGAAAGTGAAAGTAACTGTGGTAATACTTTTTGTTAGATTGTTGGGTCATTGGTTCAAGTTTCTTAACTTACAAAATCACAGAGGGTTCAGCCATGTCTCTTAGGGAGTAGGACCCTAATTCAGAAGAAAACCTTCAAGATATGTCCCTTTGTAGATATGTTTCACACAACCTCTGTGAATGAGATGGCAAATAGCTGGAGATTATCATGGAGCAAATTAAAATAACCCTTGGTACCATCCTTTTCCTTTTGTTGCTTGGGGGAATCCTGGGTATGACAATAAACTACATCCAGCAACATGGCCTTTGATTAGGAGATTCAAGGTTGACATGTTACCACCTCCTAATGTTTTGAAACCACTACTAGGGGATGCTCTCTAGGCTATAAATACCAGTAATATTTTTTCTCACTTTCTTCTTAAATTTTCTATTTACAAGTCAACATGTAAATCTCTTGCAGAGAACGTTTTCAATTTGGGAAACACATGAACATTAAACAAACCACATATAGACAACCCATGTATGTACACACATTCACAACGTTACATATTTGAACGTAAACGGTTTTCATATTCTTTTATTACACAGATCATTGTCACTTGTATATCTTTCTTGTTAATACATTATCATTTGTTTGTACATATATATTGGTTCTTGTTTCTTTCCATTTCTTTACATGGACTCACATACCAAGTCTGCCATCTTTGTTGTGGGATTTTCAGAAGACAGCATGTTATTCCCAATTTCAAATACTGATGTTAGTAACACCCGCAACAAATTGGAAAATGCATAACTGTCTTGTAACAAGATTTTGAGGAGCATGGATATCTCTTAATTGCTGTTTTTCCCAAGTTCACCTTGACCCAGGGTGGTAGCAGCTGTTAATGTCACAGCTATTGATAAATAGTGAACCCCAAACAATAAAAAAGTATAAAAATATATTTTTATAGTAAAAATACCAGCAATACATTTTTATATAAAAAGGACCAGCAATAGCTATTTATAGTAGAATTACAAACAATACAATTTTATCTCCCTATTACACAGATTTAAATAACCCATCGAGGTTGATATGCTGCTAAACAAATTCAGCCAACCAAACAACCAATATGAAAGGATGCTTTCATCAATTTCTTAAAGAAATCAAACTGTATTCAAAAATATAACTTCAAAACCACATAATTACTAGAGATGGTGATATATATTTTATGTCCACACACATGTATATGCATAAAAGCTGAGTATCATCTACCATGTATTCAAATGTGAAAGCAGAATAAATATATCCTATTTTTATTATTTCAAAGCTCCCAAGGAAAATAAGTTTGCCATTAAATGACATATAACAAGTTGATCTGCAGATAAACAAACCAACAAATCAATCAATCATTGCTTGGGCATGGCATATTGATCAGCTCAAAAGTTCCAACAAAGATTTTAAATTTGATCTTCAAAAATTTAAATGCAATGTCAATCATTATCTTATGTCTTGTAAATTATGTTTCTTTTATTGTCCTCTCTCCTTAATATTTTTTTATATTCTTTAACTCTCAGTCACCTCTTTTATCCTATTGGCTTTATTGCCTTGCCTGGAGTTAAATGATTTTAAAAAAATATCCTCAAATACCATCATACCACAAGAACACCGATCTATAGTCAGTGGCAGAGGAGGAAATTATTTAATATCTGAACAGTTCAAAAATAAATTGAGGAAGAAAAGGAGAGCGGGAGAGAGGGGGGGGAAAAGGGGGGGGCGGAGGAAGAAAAGGAGAGCGAGGGAGGGGGGGAAGACGGGGGGCGGAGGAAGAAAAGGAGAGCAGGCGAGAGGGGGGAAAAAGACGAGGGGGCGGAGGAAGAAAAGGAGAGCGGGCGAGAGGGGGGGAAAAGACGGGGGGGGCGGAAGACGGAGAGGGGCGAGAGAGGGGGGGGGAAGAAAAGGGGCGGAGGAAGAAAAGGAGAGTCGAGAGGGGGGGGGGAAAAGACGAGGGGGCGGAGGAAGAAAAGGAGAGGGGGGAAAGAGAGGGGGGAAAAAAAGGAGGGGGGAGGGGGGAAAAAGAAGAAAAGGAGAGCGGGCGAGAGGGAAAAGACAAATTATTATTATTAGATCACCCAAGAAAGTGAAAAACCTTCCAACAGAACTTTTAATGTCAGTTTAAATTAATACTTGCCCTAGGCTTTTCAAATTTTGAAAAGAATAACTTTTACACTCTGACTTCTTTAATCCAGTAATTGTTGGTTCAGCAACTCCCTTGGTTCATTCTTTTATTTATTTATTATTTTTTTTTAATCGGCCACCATTAGTGGCTATCAGAGTAGTAACACACATTGTTTAGAATTATCTGCAGCAGCAAAGAGTGTTTTAGTGATATGGTCATGCTCATTTCTTATATATAGCTGCATATAGTATAGAAAATATTTTCTTTAGTCTTTGTATTGCATGAAACAATAAAAAGAACCTTGTTTGGAAGCATTAATGTTTGTCTTATTTCCTCTTTTAAGCTTGTTTTACCTTTGATAACACAATAATGTATACATGTAGAATGAGCTGGCAAGATTATATTTACATAAGGTTTCCTTTGGTGGTGATTTCTGTCATCTAACATTTTCTGTGGTTCCAATGATGCCAGATTAAAGACGTTGGACCGTAAAAGTCATCACATTCATTTTGGGTAATGTAACAAAAGTTCTGCCACTTAACACTCGTGAAATGAATGATTGATGATTAATCTTTCAACACAGTGAAGAGCTTCAACAATTACTGAGATTCCTCATCAATGAGATCTTATTCAATAGTTTTAAAACTTTGACCAGGATTAAAAAAAGAAAATTTACAAGACTATACCTAGTTTTCACCATCTCCATCAGAGCAATACTAAGTCTGTTTTTTCCTTTAAAGATTCCATACAAAAGTTTTTTTCTACATTGTTTGAATGTGCTGTCCAAATTTTCACCTATTTTTAGTAACCCTGTGTTGTTCCTGGCTTGTTCCTTGTTTGTTTGGATCAAGGAAGGATTGTCTGTCAGTCAACTTCAGGCTTGAAAGTGGGCATACAGCTCTGGTAGAGATCTTTCTGCACTTAGGAGAATGGAAAACTTCAGCTGGTCAGTCTGATTTTTCAGTCTTTATCCTCGGCAGCTGTTTGTCTGTCAAATGCAAACATGAGGCTGGCTGTGTTGCTGCAGCTGTGTCGACTTTTTTCTGTCAATTGCTTCCAGTTGGAGGCCATGATTGAAGCCAAGAGCAGTTTTATTGAATAAATTTTTCTTTCATACCTTAAGATATTTTTGTGTAATTTTGTTAAATATATCTGTTAAAATTAGATATCAGTGTCATTTTCATTTATGCATAATTTAGATGACAATTTATCCATCGCATCCTATATATATATATATATATATATATAATTTAAGACACAATGAAATATCAGTGCTTAGTGTTATTTTCAAACCAATGTAGACATACAATGTAGCAGCATACAGTGGAAATGGTAATATTAGCCATTTCCTTATAAGGAAACATTCAGCATTCATTAACCAAGGAGCTTGTACTATGTTTAATAATTTTGTGTGTGTAAACACACATGAATATATTCAGAAGAATAACTTGGCTTTGTGAACAATGATTTACGAGGGGATTTTATGATAATGGTAATAATTGCTGTTTCCTTATAAGGAAACCTTACACATTCATTGACCAAGCAGCCAGTACTGCTGTCAGTTGAGATTTTTAAAATCTTTCTCTTAAAACAATCTCTTCAGGAAAATAGCTTTCTCAAGTGTGCCAGTATTGATGGGGGATTTTTTTTCTAACCTTTTATTTGAAGTCATGTGGAATGTCAGCCTCTTGATTATGTCATTATTTTCACTTTGACTTAGAGGTGATATCAATTTTAGTTGTTGCAAGTCATTGAGAGATATAGTTTCTGTTACTTCATAAAGTTCTTTGTGATTGTGTAGCACTAGTACAGCCTATTTTGTGACCTGATTTCTTTAAATTACGTGTTCCAGGTTGACATTCATCTTAAACTGCGCTGTAGATGAAATCTCATCAGAACCCAAATGGCAGTGTCTATGAGAAATTGCCATCAGTGTCTTTAAATCAAATAGAATAATAATTGTCTTCATATCAACCTTATAGATTTGATGAGAAAGGAAGTACAAATATGGTATTCGGGGGAGTCATTTTGTGGAAAAATAGAATTAAAAGTAAACATTTTTAAATATGCTCATTAATTAACAGATAAACTCCATCAATATCAAGTCCCTTCCATAAGCAATAATACCAGTCATACCATCTTGGAAGAACTGAAGGTTCTGGAAATTTCTTCTTTTTCTGTGTTGTGTCACTTCAGGACATGGGTGATCATGGCTCTTCACAATTACCTGTCCTTTGTAGCTATTACTGAATTTTGTCTTTTTTGGTATCTTTCCTAATCCTTGTTATACTAACCATTTACACAAAGTTGTTAGCTATGTTATGTGCTTGTGGTAGTAGTAGTAGTAATAGTATCCTATGTTCACCATGTACAAGCAATGGCTTTGCCCCAGTTGTCTATTTAACTCCTATTTTTCTTTTGTAGCTGAGTTTCATTTAGTTGAATAAAGCATAGCTTAGGACAACAGTAAGAGTGCTATGTTGTCCTAGCTGAGTTTCATTTAGTTGAATAAAGTGTAGCACTCTTACTGTTGTCCTAAGCTATGTTGTCCTAGCTGAGTTTCATTTAGCTGAATAAAGCGTAGCGCTCTTACTGTTGTCCTAAGTTATGTTTTCCTAGCTGAGTTTCATTTAGCTGAATAAAGCATAGCACTCTTACTGTTGTCCTAAGCTATGTTGTCCTAGCTGAGTTTCATTTAGTTGAATAAAGCATAGCACTCTTACTGTTGTTCCTAAGCTATGTTGTCCTAGCTGAGTTTCATTTAGTTGAATAAAGCATAGCACTCTTACTGTTGTCCTAAGCTATGTTGTCCTAGCTGAGTTTCATTTAGTTGAATAAAGCATAGCACTCTTACTGTTGTTCTAAGCTATGTTGTCCTAGCTGAGTTTCATTTAGTTGAATAAAGCATAGCACTCTTACTGTTGTCCTAAGCTATGTTGTCCTAGCTGAGTTTCATTTAGTTGAATAAAGCATAGCACTCTTACTGTTGTCCTAAGCTATGTTGTCCTAGCTGAGTTTCATTTAGTTGAATAAAGCATAGCACTCTTACTGTTGTTCTAAGCTATGTTGTCCTAGCTGAGTTTCATTTAGTTGAATAAAGCATAGCACTCTTACTGTTGTCCTAAGCTCTGTTTACTCATACAATTACTACACTGCTTTCCTCTGCCCCTCTTGCTTTCAAAATATCCTATTAGTGTCAAATTTACTAAGCCCTCTTTCCTTATTATGTGCCATAGAAATTTTAGCTTTCTCTTTCTGCTGTTAAATATAAGTCTTTTTTTCCATTTTCTCTAAAACTCTATCATTGCTCATATATTCAGTCCATGGCATTCTCAGCATCCTTCTATAGAACCACATCTCTGTTGTCTCAAGTCTCTTCTTCATCTGTGAGGAGATTGTTCAGCATTCACTGCCTTCTAGGAAGACTGATATCATGTAACAGTTCAGTAATCTTTTCTTTGTTCCTAATGAGATTTTCCTGTGGCTTAATAATTGATTTAGCTTTTGGAAGATACCTTTTGCCATCCCAATGTGACTTTGCATTTCACTGTCACACTTTCTGTTAAAACATTTCTTTGTTATTTAAATTTTTGTACCTGCATAAATTAACTATTTTTTACATCATTAATGGTCTCAAAATGGGTAAATTTGAAAAATGTTTTATGATTTGGAAATAACAATATTCCGGAAGGTGCTAAATCAAACCTAATGTGGATGTCCAATATTTTCCCCACTGGGCAATGTTCCCCTTGTTTGATGAGTTGAATAGATAGAGGAACTGTTGTGATAGAAAAAGAATTTTCCTTTGATGAGTTTGTTTTTTGATTTTACTGGACCCTTTCTACATTTCATAATAATGAATTAATGTTCACCATTAAGGGAAAAAGAATTCATTGTGAACTTACCAAGTGGGATAAAGGCAAGGTTTTCAGGTTCGCACTTGTATTGGTTAAGGTCAATGTTCTTCATATATTTCATTCCCTCAATGTCCAGTTTAAAGAGGCCACGCTGACCACTGTGCATAACATAGCCAAAACGGAAGGTTGGATGCAAAGTGTTGGTTGGAGGTAGAAACATCTTTTTCACCTAAAAATAAAAGATAATAAAGATAAATATAGTGAATAGAACTGAAGAATGTATCAAATTGTGACACTAGGGTACCCATATGCAAAAGCAAACTTTTTCAATGATATTTTAGTCATTAGATATTCATTCCTGTTACTATGATAATATGATACTATGATAATATGATTATGCTAACAGTTTCTTCTATCACACTTTTTCCTTGTGAAACTCTCCAGCTTGTTGCATCCCTGACAACTTTGATTTTCAAAAATTTAAATACAATACCAATCGCTATCTTATATTGTCTTAATTCTTTTATCATCTTCTTTCCTTAATAGTATATTTTTCTCATATTCTTTAATACAGTGCTTCTCAAACTATCTGATATAGCTGACCGGCATTTTTTTTTCTCAATGTGTCCTGTACATTTAATATTTCATGGCAATATTAATTTATACCAGAAATGATATATATATAATGAATAAAAGTTGACTATTTTTTTATTTTCTATTTATTTTGCAAAAAAATAATTCAATAAAAAATCATATAAAAAGTAATAGAAAATAAGCTTTTTATTAACATAAAAATGTAAATTATATAACCTTAGTCTTTACAAATAATTCCTCAGCATAGCCTGGACACTGGCCGCAGACCAGTAGCTGATGGTTCACCTACTGGCACCAGCCTGTGGCCCACCACTTTGAGAATTACACAATGCTCAGTAATCCCTTGTGTCTTAGTGGCTTTAATGACTTGCTCTGGTGAAATGATTAAAAAAAAAATTGAGCTATGGGTGGAAGTATATTTTGCTTCAGGAAAGATGCTTTAATACAAACTCATCTTAAAGAAGGAAATATTTTATTTTAAAATAAAATTCTTCTTTTTTTCTTTCAGAAATATTTTCTTTCTTTATGGTTGTTTGTGTCACTAATTTTTTTTTTTTTATTCTTTGGGAAGAAGTCTTGGCTAGAAATGAATTAATATCTTTAAACACACACATGTATTTGTATTTCTTATTATTTGAAACATTATATTTAATGTGTACATGTGTTTCAGTAGACTTCCTTTTCTATTTACACTATTTACATTGTTTGGACAGTTGTCCTCATCTTTGTTGCCATATTGTGAATATGGCAACATAGATGAGGACAACTGTCCAAACAATGTAAATAGTGTAGATAATTACAATACCACATCTCAGAAATATAGACAGATCCTGAAGAAAGCCGGGGTGTAAAATGGCTGAAATGTTGTGAATATGGCAACAAAGATGAGGATAACAATGTAAATAGTGTAAATAACTTTTTTTTTCCTTTCTTTTCTGAATCTTTTTTTTCTCTTTCCTGGACTAATTTCTTTATTTGTTTATATTTCTGAGATGAGGTATTGTAATTATTTACACTATTTACATTGTTTGGACTGTTTTCCTCATCTTTGCTGCCTTGACAACAAAGAGGACAACAGTCCAAACAATGTAAATATGGTAAATAATTACAATACCTCATCTCAGAAATACAGCCAGACGTCTTTTTTAAACTATGAAATTAATGTCTACTGGTCTAGGGATCAAAAGTCTTAATAAATGAAATGTGCATCCCCTATTATTACCGTTGATCTCAAGACCAGGAGACATTTCACTGAGCATATATATCTGGTCTTTAAACAAACACTTGTACCCACAAAATATTACGTTTATAGTGGATTTCCCTACTCATTTTCTGAATAAATTTGACCAATAGGCTTCATTACTAAAGTTATTCCTTACCTCGCTCTTGTAAGGCATCACAACTCTGTTCTATTGGCTATTGAGATCATGCAGTAGTTTCTGTTAATATTTCTTATGCACAATCTATTAGAAAGGAATCTCCTATTCACAAGACTTTCACACTGTATCACTTGGGATTCATTTTGTGACTTTTCTCAAGATACTCCTTGGATTGAGATTCTTAACCTTCCTATTGAGAATGATGTCATAGAGGTTTCTTCTTTCATCAATGCTGTTTATAATACCCAGAAATCCATAAACAGATGTCCTCAAGGACACATGACACAGTGGATAAAGGCATTAGTTTGATCCAGTGACAGGACCCAAAGAGAGGTGAGTTCAATACCTGGTTATGGTGGTGGAAAAATTTGAGAGGGGAATTAACAGGAGATAACTGACAACCATTAGAC